ATCATGACTTGCCTGGATCATGGCCCATGCCACCTTGGCGGCTCTGTACCGGTCATTTGCTGGCGCACTCCTACTACTTTGCGAGAACCGATCGACGCACTAGAAAGCTTTTTCCTAGTCTTTTGTAACCCAGCAAAACTACCTCTGTAGAAAAGTGCAAGCGTATCACTGACGGTAAAGTTTTACGAATATTTATTTCCTAACCTACCTTTCAGAGTGCCTTTGTTGCATTTTGCCAATTTCATTTTAGTCGTGCAGGGTGAGATGTCTAAGCAGCAGTCCGTGATGATAATGCATATACGGAGGAGTCGTCCCGCGCAAAGGGTTCGGGCTGCTGGGCCAGCGGCAGGGTATGTTTATAAATTCAATTAAAGGGAGGTGCCTTGATTATAGTGCCGTTGTGGCGTGGCCCGGCGCGGCGCTGCAGTTGAGGAATGCCGTGTGGTATTCGGTACATCGCGCGACGGTTCGACCACGCCCTCCCCCTCCCTCCCCCTCAGCGCACCCACGGCCCTTCCAGGAGCCTGCGGAAGCATCCAGAGTCCCGGGAGCACACTGTGGCTGTTGCTGTCGGCGCACTGTTTGCTTGCAGAAACCTAGATTTCCAGGAACTTGCGAGGTTTAGCAGGGGCAGGGGAGTTCAGACCGGCCAGGCCAGCAGCCTGTAAACTATTGCATTTACTATCGGCATGCGGGAATATTTCGAGGAGCTTCCAGCAGCGTCTTTGAACCTGAAGAGGCATCCAACTGCAGTCCGCATTGACTAAGCCGCCCTGCAGGGGCTTCTAGTGCCCTGCAGCAGCCTTGAGGGAGACTGCAGGGAGCCTGCAGGGACCGGCGTCCGGATGAAAGCCACTCCGTGCGTGACCGCACGCCTGTCCCCACGCGCATTGTACCTATCGCCTGCAATCACCGCATTGTATGACTCAGTGCGGGGGCCCAGGGGCCTAAGAGCGACACTGCCAAAGCTTTCTCATAACGTAATGCGGACGCGCGATGATGCGGCACGAGGCGGTACACCGCCGGAAATCAAACGGGTGATATCTGAAACAATTCTCGCCCGTGGTCCCGGGTGGTTAACTTACTTGAACGAGATTTAGCATCATTCAAGCACGGAGCGTCCTCCCGTCTCGGGCTGCAATGCTGCTCTGAACCCATTCGCTCCGCCGTTACGTTATGGGTTTTGGAGTGTGGCTTGTTGCAATCTCCTCGCAGGCAAACACTCGCAGGAGCCCGTCCTCTCTGCTACCTGCCGCGACATGGCCGCTTCACTTATCGGCACAGTTCACTGCCCCCTGGCAGGGCAGCTCTGGCGCACCCCGCGGCGAGCAGTCATGCCTTTGGAGATGCACGGCGTAAGTTATACTGTAGTGCATTCGACTTCGCATTTGACTTCCGCACTTGCGTGATACAAGCCTTGCGGAGGGGGGGG